TCAAAATCCTAAACTACGGTTTGTAAAATAGTACTGATTTACCATATTTTTTAAAATATATTTTATGGACGCAGAAGTGATGATATTTTTACATATTATTCAACTGGAGAAATGTTTTGTAAAAAAGCAATTCAATATGAATCGTATTCATTTCGGGAGTCAAATCAAAGATTGAGTATTTTGACAAAGGTTATGTGTAATATACATTGCAATATCATAGTAGTTACTCACTGATAATCAATAGACAAAAACAACGTTTCATGTTTTTTGGTCAAAATATTCACTTCATGATGTAGGTAACTGTTAGGATGCTTACCAAAGTCTAGCCAGTTGATACTTCAATATGTAAATAAACGATATTAAAGTGATGAATTTGTTAAATTTGCTCTAATTTCGGAAATATCTAAGAAGCAACTGATCGGTATGTGTTATTTGCATTGATTTATAACGCAAATATAGATCTCAACGATCTAAAGTTGGACTATAAAAAATGTTTTGAGCATCTACATATTTCTGATGCCTCAAAGGTGAATAGATTTTGAAGTCCACGAAGAAATTTATAAATATTCTACACTATTATTTTATTATTAAATTATTATAAATGCCGTTTACCACAAAAGCTAGTGACGAGCCGACAGAAAATATATTTTCACAAACAAGAGAGCGAAAACAATGTTGACGTTTGACGCCCATTCCTGTGTGTTAAGGATATTTAAAACATCCATGACATCACCGTTAGTTATCTAAATTAAATGCTTTAGATTCTATTAATATCTTACATGATTTTCTTTCCTTTCACTTATTCTCGATAAATTGGATAACTTCGGTTCGTTATAAGTTTTTATTTAGTTGTCACTAAAAATTTGTAGCAACTGAATTCCGTTACTCAAGACACAGTTCCTCCTGAACCAAACACTTTTGACATATTTACATAGGCTGGCTTCTTCATAGCACAATGATACATATAATTATATGCATTCACCGTTTGTTTATGTTACACTTCATTATGCTTAGTAACATAATATATATATGACAAATAAAATGTCTATCAACAAACAAAACAACACCGAAGAATACTTGCAATTTATTTTAAATATTAAAACCTGAAATCCCACTGAACTAGTTAAGAATGAAACATGATCTCGGTAATCAGGTCTAAAAACAAACTCAATCACTTTCTTTGCTAGAGTTTTGACTCGATATCGGAAATAACTATGAAATAATCCAGACAAATTATTCATAGATTGATTATAACATAGCGGAGAGTCGTTTTAAATAAAATACATATCATGTATGAAACTTAACAGCTTATCGACAAACCTTTTTTTGATCCGATTAAACAATATTGTAGTAGTTAAGTAAAATATAAGGGTGTACGCTTTGGATACCTAGACAAAATAGAAATTTACTTTTTGTTATATGCAATAAAAAAATGATTTCAAGCGTTCTCTCTCGCTATTCTCAGTTATTGTTGTTGTCGTTGGTTGTTTGTTTTTTTAGTGGAAAAACACACATGAAGCATAAATTTCGTCTGATTGTCTGATAGAAATTCTTCAGAATGTTAACATAAAAATGAACAAAGTTCTTGTTGTTGTTTTTTTTGTTCTTTGTCATTCTGCATGAATATTTAATTTCGATAAAATGATTCTCTTTCCGATTGTTATAAATTTTAAATTTATTCTTCCCGCTATATGTTGTTGCTCAACTATAAAAAATTGAATATAGGAATCCGTTTTATAAAACATAGTAGACATCAGATAAATAGCAACAAATAAGAAGAAAAGAAAAGTAAAGATGTTCAAAATTTTATTTTTAACAAATCGATTGGTATTAGCTATAGTTAGCAGTTTCTATTTTGAATGTAGCTTATAATTTCTATATTTTATCTTTACCGTTTTTAAAGAAATCAGATCAAGTAGAATGTGGTATTTCACAAGTATATTACTTGAAATGGTTGTATAAGATTATTTACGAGATCAAGTTCATAAGACAATCTGTTAAAGTCAAAACTCCACACTGGATTGACCCAAGTATGTGATTGTGTGATAGAAAAGATTTATTTAAGTGACTAGCAGAATAGTGAAGTAATAACCTATTATATATTATCCATTTACTCATATCATAACTTGACCACATTGAAAATTTTACCCAAGGGTAACTTACTTATTGACCAAATCTATCTTGATAAATACTAAACCTTAGTGATGTGAGTTGGTTTGAATGCAAAATCTTACATTATCACCTCGAATACAATCAAATTTGTTTAAAGAAGGCATATATTGCTACCCGGTTATTAATGCTTTTTTGATTGATGTCAGTTTATGGTAAAAGTTTACCCTCAAATATGAATTAAGGAACACTCTTCATAGTTATCAGATTACCCTTAATTAATTGTACTCAAATATATTTAATCTAAAGACTAATATGTATAACTATCTTTCATATGAAATTATATTTCTCTCTTTAATTTGTAAACTGTAATTACAATTGGAAACTATATTGAAACAAATCATTTTATTGCAAGTTTTTTTGAACCATGCAATTAGGTAATTACGGTGCCTAAATTTTAAGTTTTATTTAAATCTATATTCTGTATTTAGACAGATAATCATTGCTAAGATTAATCCATGGATCATTTATTTAAGATTATTTCGTGACTACCATTCCAAAAGATAGTGCTTTTTTCGTAGGAAAACGAAATACTTCTTTGGGATTTTTTATTATCCATCATTTGGTTAAGAAAAAGTTGAAAAATATTTTTTATCTTATGCTTTCATCATTATGTAATACTCAATCATTAAATGTACCTAAATAGGATTGCTTAGAATTATATTAATTGCTTCATAAATTTCACAGGTTTTGATTTTGTGGAAGAAGATCCACTGACGTAAAAGTGTTCTATCAGTGTATTCGAGGACAAAGAAATATGATAGAAATAAAATTTCTATTCACTGAAGCTACACCATAGTGTATATTGTTTACGTTTAGCTGAACAATAATATATTTTCAATAATTTATGTAGCTATTAGATATTTATTCACTGTTTACTGTTTATAAAATATACGTTTGAGCTTGAATTTAAAATAAAGAAAGAAAGAAATTAACCTAATTACTCGACAAAAATAAATTCCCAATATTAGCAAATATATATATTAATGCCATTTAATTAAAGTCAACTGTATGTGATTATGTTATTTTTGATCAGTGGACAAGACCTCAACCTTATAAACAAAGATAGATGGTGATTAGCAGTGAAATCCAGGACGCACGTTTCGTTCAATTTGGGAGTCGTCCGCTGGATATACCTGCATCTCAGCATTGATGTTCACTGAATTCTGGAGGCTACCTGCTTGTGCAATGGGGTGAAGTTTAATTCACTTGGTACTGTTTGCTTGTATCTTCCTATTGATGTTTAGGTCTGTAATGGATCAGTCTCTTGTTTGCATATGTGCATGCTGTGCGGATTGTCTCGATATTGCCTTAATTCACAAGCTTTATAAGCAAAGATGGATAGTGGCTAGCGGTAGAATCCAGAGACTGATCAATTGTAGTCCTAAACAACATTTGAAAGATACAAGTAAACAACACCAAGTGAATTAATCCCCAATCTTATATTTTAAAAATATTTCTACAAGTCGTAAGTAATCATTTTTTTCTAACGGTATTGGCTTCATTCTTTTACACTATGCGATGCTTAAACTCTAATAATGAATTCATATTTACAGTCCATGTGTTGGACCGAACACTACTAGTTCTTGCAGCTTATGGTATATAAGCGGTAAATATGATACTATACAACCTATTCATTATGCAGACAGAATCCATGTTGGATTGTAAAATATGAAATGCAAAACATGAAATATCTACCGACAGATAACTACCTGATAAATGTTTCTAAAAGTATACGGCGGAAATTATTGGACATGGACTTAAAGGAAAAAAACTGGGAGGTAGCAATTCATTTAATAGACTGACTAAACAGGAAATTTCGAAAACGACTATAAGCAGCATTCTAACAATAAAAACCAAATCAAACTCGCATATTTAAGTTATATTTGAATTTATTTCTTTAACTGATAACTAATTTATTACCTTCCAACTTTGTCGGCATCTTATCAATCATTAATTACGTAAATAATAAGCCTACAGAGACCAATACGACGAAATGATATCATCTGTCTATTTATTTACATAAATATGTAGTCAGTCATGTTTACATTGATGTTTAAATGTGAGTGTCTTAGTTTTATTTTATTGGTTCCATACAATGAGATTAGTTTAAAATGTAATAAAATCTAAAAAGGTATTCCTACGCGGTAGAATAATAACAAGCTCAACAAATATTCAAAAGTACATTAACTGAATTTATATTTATGAAATATTTATTGTAAAATCAGTAAAAAGTGAAAATAGTTTCAAACAAATGAGAAATTTTAATTACTTATGTCTTGTATTAAAGAGTTTTAAAGTGTTTTACAAATTATAGAAACAATCTACAGTTTTAAACTGAGATAAAGCTGTCTATTATGAAAGTAAATCAATCCAAAAACACATTTCTGTTTTCTATCATGTATTCTTATAAGCAGCCGAGAATTAAGCGTTCATACTTTTATGGAATAGTTTATGCCAGACATTAATACCGTTGAATGATGGCCAGCTCAGTGGTCTAGAGGTTAAACGTTCTCGAACGAGACCAATAGGTCTTGAGTTCGCATCTTGCGAGGCGAGATCGTGGGTGCGCACTGCTGGAGAGTCCCACAATAAGACGAATACTTCCAGGTTTTCCATGATCTCAACTGTTGAAATTACTTATAATATCAACAAAAATTTCCTTCTGATACTTTTATATATGTCCAGTTTGTTTGTTTTTTTGTTTCAAGAAGAATATACATAGTTACGTATTTTGTTTAAATATCTTAACTATTAAAACATTCTATATAATTTTTTTGCAATTTCATATTTACAAAACATAAATAAGATCAATGTTCAAATTTACTTACTTACATACAATCTAATAAAATTCATTATTATGTAATAATCCAGTGGAATATCAATAGGAAAGCAAATGAATTGTATATAATATTGTATACAATTTGTTTTACTATAATATTATTTTATTCAATGAAACTTTGTTCAATATTATTATTATAGTCTGTAAAATTTTATAAATATTTAAATTATCGAATAATTTTTTCCCATTTTCAAATTAGTAAATGAAATCAGTGAATTTATGTAAATAACCAATCAAAATATTCAATGAAATGATAAAATATGATTGGTGTATATATGCACACACACACACACGCACACACAAAAAAAACATATCATTAATGTAGTGGATTTGTTATTTTTGAGGTAATTATATTCTTTAATGTATATCTGATGATTATAAAACGTTTAGGTAATTTATGTGTACAACAGAGTGTGACTAATTATGATGGAAATTTTAGCTGAATATTAATAATTCACTTAATGTTAACTTTGTTGGTACAACTTTAAATTCGTTCTTAAATTGTAATTTATAATATCAATAATGGGTTTTGAAGATATTTGAATATCATTGAAATCATGAACTAATCAATTTTAGATCACTATTGAAAAATTCAAAGCACTTGATGGCTCTTTTGTCTTAATATGACAGTTTTAAGCAGTGCTCATCTACGACTCAAACATAGAATCTTCGGTTTTGCTCGCGAATGCTTAATCTCGAAATCATTGACCCGGCATTCAGTAGTGGAGCTAATCCATGATGGATGTGAGTCAGTGATTCCCTGAAAATAATGGAAAATGGTCGCACGGTGTCGTGGACTTATTGAAGTTAGGTATGGACGCCGTTGGACCATGGCTCAATGGTCTAGGGGTCATGTGTTAGTGTGCAAGACCAAAGGTCTTGGGGTTCAATTCCCATGTGCGGAACCTTGTATTCGCACTTTTGAGAAGCTACACGCTAGAACGAAATGGCCGTCCAACGCTTTCAGGATTTCACTAGTGGTCTCTCATTCATCGGTTCATGACTTTAGTTAAGTTTATAGCATGGCTGATATTTCTAATTAATAATCCGTAATATTGTACTACAATACATAATCCAACATTTACTGTTTTTGTGATTTCAAAAAACTCGTAAGCAGTAAAATGTTTGTGTTCGAACAAGATCTGTTATGACCGTCCTACTGAACTTAACGAAAAAGTGGCGTCATATGCGATTAATTATATGACCACAAAAGTCATATATATAATGTCATATTGGCTTTTCAGTTGAAGCACAAATACTTAAGCCATTGACATTTTTATGATATAACATGTCAAAAGAACTCATCAAAAGTGATCGAATCCGAGTACTTCAAACTACATAAGTTGTAGCCTTTTGAAGCAAAATAAAGACATATCTAAAAGACGCTAAAACTATCATATTAAGCCTTCTTAATTTGAGCTTCATCAAACACAAGTAATCGATTTACTTAAGTTATCATTGATTCAGTTTATAAAAAAGACGTGAGTAGTTTAAATGTGCCTTCATCGGAATCCTTCCTTAATATGATCGTAATAATATTTAACAGAACAGCAGTATTATATTTTACCAATTTCAAGATTTGAACTTTCCTATAAAAATAAAACTCCAACCTTATTGACTTAATTGGTGAAATACTTACAAGAATCAGTTTTAACGAGGTTGTCATCAAGTGCAGTGGTGTGATAAAATCAATCAGATTGGATGTGACGTAATAATGTATATTTCTTGTAAAATGTGTCTAAGAATTACAATATTCATGTAAATTTTATTAAATTAGCTGAATACAAGTAGGAGTGTGAGTAATGAATCACTTAAACCAAAAATAACACCATAACTTCATCATATTAAGCAGGATCAAAGCTTTTTACTTTAGCATAAACTAAAATCCATTTTCTATTTCATTTCAAAATGACCATTTAAACAGATACTTATATTAACAAAATACACACACATATGACGTTTATTTTTGTAATTTTCATCTCCTCTTTTTATATTTCTTCATCCACGTTGTTGTTTACTCAAAAGACTTTCAATTTAAGTGTCAGATTTTGAATTATTCTAATGACCAGAAAAACAAACAACTAAGTGATAAGTTATTTTGCTTATATATAATACACTCTTTTAGGACATTAAATTGTTTGTGGATATTGTAAATAACTATGTTTGCTTAACAACATACATTTAAACAAGGTTATTGATTCAGGCGTTACTTTTCAATCAAATGTTTCGATCAGATATAGTTGTTGTTTATTGTGTTACATCAACAAAATTATAACAAAATAAATAAACAGATAGGTAAGATTTATCCAAATTTGATAAACTAGTGTCTTTTGATTAGATTTTCTTCTATTTCATAAATTTGACCGTTTTGAGTAAACATTTAACTATTTCACTTAAAATAAAAGAATACATTTATAAAATTTTAATGATTGAATTTAAAGTAAATCCAACATTTCGGTCAACAATCTGATTCAAGCTTTTTCAAAGAAATCTTTGATGTCTTACATGAATTCAGTGCCCACATACTGTGAAACTATTCGTTCAAATTAAGACAAAAGTCCTTATATTTCACTTCGTTTAACTGAACTATTAGTAAAATTAATAAACCAACAGTTCAGCTAACAATCATTTTTTGAACTATTTTATTTTACGATAACAACTGGTTGTCCGAGTCAGAAGTATATTTATTTGAAAGACTTTTTAACATGGGTCAGCCAAATTACTTTAGTAACTACAAGAAACACTTCGATTAATTAAATTGTTTAACAGCTTTCGGGAGTTAGATATAAGTAACGTTCAATATATTTCCCAATATTATAGAAATCTTAGAGTGATTAATTAGTTCAGTTAATTATAGGTTGTGGGATTTTGCTCAGAATGATAGTGATAAAGTCACATGAGAATAGAATTTATTTTTACACAAGTTTTAAATACCTGACAACTTAGTTACTTTTAACCAACATAGTGACATGACATTTTCGTCGAGTTTTTTTTTTTAACTAAAGGGTTATTTTTTTGTTTTACAATAAGAATGCAAGAGAATTACTATAAATATTATCTATATACATGCACTATAAAGTATGCAGGAATTTAAACGGAGTAAAATTACTAACTAAGCATTAAAATGCGCATATTAAGAAAAATTATTTGTTTTCAATGTGCTCATCATCAGCTTAATCAAAGTCGAAAAAGCATATGATTTCTGTCCCAATCAAAATCGTCTTTTAGTTTAAGAAACCATCGACGTTCAAGGCAAACTTTCAGTTCTGTGATGCTTTTACTGACTCATTAAATATTTGACATTTTCCTGTCATAAAAATGGCCTGAAATTTCATAGATTTCATTAACATGGTGTAATATATTTTTGACCAATTAAATAGTCGATACATATATAAACCATGCCGTAAACTAATAAGTTTTTTCAATGGTTAAGATCATGAGTCAGTTGAAGCTAGACCACCAAGGAAAACCTGGAAGCACTGGACGGCCGTATCGTCCTATTGTGGGACCCCTCAGCAGTGCGCATCCACGACCTCACCCCCTGCGAGGTTCAAACCCAGGACCTACTGGTTTCGCGCCCCAGCACTTAACCACTAGACCACTGAGCCGGCATCCAACGGTGTTAATGTCTAACTTCAACTAATCGACGAAATTGAGTGACACATTCACCATTGTCTTCAGTGGGTTACTACCTCACAACAGACCTGGTTGAACTCCACTGGTCACTACTTCTCACTAGAACTCCAGGATATACCTCGTGAAGCCAGTCACTAGTGAGCATATTTTGATTAATATCAGATGGGTTTTTGTTGTATCAGGTAGCTTTCTTAAAGATGATAGAAGCAGATTATGAACATTAAGAAATTTTTAAGGTAAACAAATCTACTAGGCGCACTAAATTTTCATAACTGATTTTAGTTACAATTTCTTGATTTTAATGATTTTGTATACGTCCTGACTTCTCATTAACGATATAAATATGAAGATTATCTTTATTAGTGCTCAATTTCTAGGCGCTGTGTGGTTTCGATAATATATTACTAAAACTATTTTAAATCAGTGATATTAAGCATGATGCCATGATAGTTTTTTATTCAAATAATGAACATAAGAAATTCATTGCCATACTATGAAAAGTAATGGTACCTTTTATGTCTGTCTCCCATTCGTTTATAATACTTAACAAGGAAATCTCGGGAGACAAAGTGTAGTCGCAGTTTTAATGAAGAAAACTGACATAACGCCAATATAAACATATTGTGGTATATTCAACTTATGTCTGTCGACCTAAGTAGTATTACCAATCGGAAGTGAAAAACCTGGGGACAGAAGGCTATGAAGGTCAACATGAAGATAACAGGGACGGAATTGGAAAAGAATCGCTAATCGAAAGAATCATACAGGATGTAAAAGGATAAATGATGGAAATTCGCAAATGGAGTATCTAATGTACGGTCCTCATATTATAGCAAGATATTCTGTAATTTCGTATTAAAATACATTTAGTTGTTCCTCACATGAGTTCCCGTGCATTTCATTATCACTGATAAATGTGCAACTCAATATTGATGCAAATAGTGCCGTATTATATGTATAGGGTTTTGTTCCGTTTCTTTGGTTCTCAGTAAAGGGCTGGATGCAAATACGGTCAGGTAAAAAAACAGAAACCCTAACAACGATATAAAAATGAATATTTAAGGCCAAGTCGTTTGGATTATTCTGTTTTACTTCAATGGCGACTGATGGAGTCTAAGGAGAGGACTATGTTGTTTCAGTATCGGACACCTAAGCTGTGTAGTCATAGACCTGAACTTTTAAACACCAAGTTAGCATTCAACGGTTTATATTTATAACCCCAGTAAATTCTCAACTTTAAGCGACTATTATTCATGGCCTTTGGTGATATTTGTTTTTTTGCTTGATATATCTGAACTTCACTAGACAAGGCTTTTCAGTAAAAATCCGAGATCTAACTCTGATTTAGGCACTGGTATGCTCATGATAAATTTTTTTATAAGCCTACTTTGGATTAATTTATTTTAGTGAAAACTCCAGGTCAAACCTGTGGAAGTAGAAATCTATGTAATGCTTTGCAATTATAACACATGTATATAAAAGAAATGATATATTTATAGTATCAGAAGATAAAACGATTATA